GGGCCTGTAATCCAGCTACTTGGGAGGCTGAGGTAGGAGAAATGCTTAAACTTGGGAGGCGGAGGTTGCGGTGAGCTGAGATCTTGCCATTGCACTCCAGCTTAGGCAACAAGAGAAAAAAAAAAAAAAAAAAAAAAAAAAGTAACATGTCTTGGCCAGGTGTCATGGTTCATACCTATAATCCCAGGCCCAGCATTTCAGGAGGCAGAGGCAGAAGGATCACTTGACAACAGGAATTCAAGACCAGACTGGGCAATGTAGGGACACCCCATTCCTATCAGTTTTTATTATTTCTTTTTCTTTTTTTTTGCCTAATAAAGCATATTTATTTATTTTTATTTTTATTTTTTTGGAGATGAAGTCTCTCGTCGCTCAGGCTGTAGTGCAGTGGCGTGATCTCGGGTCACTGCAACCTCCACCTCCTGGGTTCAAGGGATTCTTCTGCCTCAGCCTCCAAGAAGCTGGGAAGATAGGTGTCTACCACATCCAGCTAATTTTTGTATTTTATTTTAATGTTTTATTTATTTTCAATTATTATTTATTTACTTATTTGTCTTTTGAGATGGAGTCTCACTCTGGAGTGCAGTGGCATAGTCTCGGCTCACTGCAACCTCTGCCTCCCAGGTTCAAGTGAGTCTCCTGCCTCAGCCTCCAGAGTGCTGCAACTGGAGGCACGTGCTACCATGTCTGGCTAATTTTTTGTATTTTTAGTAGAGACAGGGTTTCACCATGTTAGGCAGGATGGTCTCAATCTCCTTACCTTGTGATCAGGAGTGGTGGCAGGAGTGAGCCCACGCCTGGCCTAATTTTTAACACAGAGTCTTGCTCTGCTGTCCAGGCTGGGGTGCAGAGGCATAATCTCAGCTCACTGCAACCTCCACCTCCCGGGTTCAAGCGGTTCTCCTGCCAGAGCCTCCCGAGTAGCTGGTATAAAGGTGTCCGCCACTGATTTTTGTATTTTTAGCACAGACTGGGTTTCACAACGTTGATCAGGGTGTTCTCAAGCTACTGATCTCAAGTGATTTGCCTGCCTCATCCTCCCCAAGTATTGGGATTACAGGCATGAGCCACCACACCCAGCCTCCATTTCTATTATTTTTTTTAAAAAGGTAATACGTTGGCTGGGCACAGTGGCTCACATTTGTAATCCCAGCACTTTGGGAGGCTGAGGCGGGTGGATCACGAGGTCATGAGTTTGAGAGCAGCCTGACCAACATGGTGAAACCCCATCTCTACTAAAAATACAAAAAAATTAGCTGGGTGTGATGGCATGCGCCTGTAGTCCCAGCTACCCGGGAGGCTGAGGCAGGAGAACTGCTTGAACCCGGGAGGTGGAGGTTGCAGTGAGCCGAGATTGCGCCACTGCACTCTAGCCTGGCGCCTGGCGACAGAGTGAGACTCTGCCTCAAAAAAAAAAAAAAAAAAAGGTAATATGTTGGCCGGGCACAGTGGCTCATGCTTGTAATCCCAGCACTTTGGGAGGCCGAGGTGGATCACGAGGTCACAAGTTTGAGACCAGGCTGACCAACATGGTGAAACCCCGTCTCTACTAAAAATACAAAAATTAACCGGGCATGGTGGTGCGTGCCTGTAATCTCAGTTACTCAGGAGGCTGAGGCAGGAGAATCACTTGAACCCAGGAGGCAGAGGTTGCAGTGAGCCGGGATCGAGCCACTGCACTAGAGCCTGCGGGACAGAGCGAGACTCCGTCTCAAAAAAATAATAATAATAAAATAAAAATGAATAAAAAAGTAGTATGTCCTATGTTCCTATCTGCTCTAATTATAACACAATGATTTTCTGATTGGGTATTTTGACGTCCTATCATAATAAGTCAAATGCTAGAGCCACAAATGAAATAAAGAAGTTTCCAAGTATAGGTAAGGGTGTTAACTCAGGAATAAATTATCATTAATTAAACCATCAAGTACTAGGGCTGGGGCACAGTGGCTCACGCCTGTAATCCCAGCACTTTGGGAGGCAGAGGCGGGTGGATCACCAGGTCAAGAGATCAAGACCATCCTGGTCAACATGGTGAAACCCCATCTCTACTAAAAATACAAAAAGTTAGCTGGGCACTGTGGCCTGTGCCTGTAATCCCAGCTATTCAGGAGGCTGAGGCAGGAGAATTGCCTGAACCCAGGAGGTGGAGGTTGCAGTGAGCCAAGATCGTGCCATTGCACTTCAGCCTGGGTAACAAGAACGAAACTCTGTCTCAAAAAACAAACAAACAAACAAACATCAAGTACTTTGAAGTGGTGATGTGGGTATGCTTTCCCTTATAAGCTGGTGTAAGTTTTGATCATTTGTATATGGTATAGGTGCTTGCAAATGGTACAGACTAACCCTGGGGAAAAGAATAGTAGTTTTTTTTTGAGATGGAGTTTCGCTCTTTTTACCCAGGCTGCAGTACAATGGCGCAATCTCGGCTCACCGCAACATCTGCCTCCTGGGTTCAGGCAATTCTCCTGCCTCAGCCTCCTGAGTAGCTGGGATTACAGGTACGCGCCACCATGCCCAGCTAATTTTTTGTATTTTTAGTAGAGACGGGGTTTCACCATGTTGACCAGGATGGTCTCGATCTCTTGACCTCGTGATCCACCCGCCTCGGCCTCCCAAAGTGCTGGGATAACAGGCGTGAGCCACCGCGCCCGGCAAAAAAAAATAGTAGTTTTAACAAAGTAGCCCAAGTCCCCCAAACATCTAGTTCATGATATAATTAACTGCAAAGTTAATCAAATTTAAGCCCTTGTTTTTCAAATTATTATTATTATTTTTTTTTAGATGGAGTCTCATTCTGTCATCCAGGCTGGAGGGCAGTGACACAATCTTGGCTCATTGGAACCTCTACCTCCAGAGTTCAAGTAATTCTTCCACCTCAGCCTCCAGAGTAGCTGGGACTCTGGGCATGCCCCACCATGCCCAGCTAATTTTTGTATTTTTAGTAGAAACAGGGTTTTGCCATGATGGTCAGGCTGGTCTCCAACTCTTGACCTCAGGTGACCCACCGGCCTTGGCTTCCCAAAGTGCTGGGATTATAGGCATGAGCCACCACGCCCAGTCCAAATTAGTCTTTCTTGGTCTCCTAAATCTAAAATTAAATATTTCTTACTATATTGCAAGAAAAAGCTCTACAAAGTTCCCATTTTTCTATCTTGAAATCTATGCTTCTGTGAAAACAATTTAATTCTCCTTAAATGCCACAATACGTAAGTACCCTGATAAGTTCTGGTTCTTGACATTTAGAGGAGCCTTAAGGAGGGGATGCTTTCATTCAATGATATGTTTTGTATAACTATTACTTCTAATTTGCTGAAGGGCAAACTGAGACAGAGGAATCCACTTAGAAAAGTAGAAAAAAGTGGCTGGTGGCAGTGCTCAAACCTGTAATCCCAGCACTTTGGGAGGCTGAGGTGGGTGGATCACGAGGTCAGGAGTTTGAGACCAGCCTCCTGACCAACATGGTGAAATCCTATCTCTAAAAAAAGAAGAAAAGTAGGGCCGGGCGCGGTGGCTCAAGCCTGTAATCCCAGCACTTTGGGAGGCCGAGGCGGGTGGATCACGAGGTCAAGAGATCGAGACCATCCTGGTCAACATGGTGAAACCCCGTCTCTACTAAAAATACAAAAAATTAGCTGGGCATGGTGGCGCGTGCCTATAATCCCAGCTACTCAGGAGGCTGAGGCAGGAGAATTGCCTGAACCCAGGAGGCGGAGGTTGCGGTGAGCCGAGATTGCGCCATTGCACTCCAGCCTGGGTAACAAGAGTGAAACTCCGTCTCAAAAAAAAAGAAGAAAAGTAGAAAAAAGTTTCAGAGGCATACATAACTGGAGTTCGGTCACTCAGTACTGTGTGATTTCAGGCAAAGTATTTAACCTCTCTAAACCTATTTCATTATCTGTACAACAGGACTGACAATATCTAACTTGTGGGGCTGTGATAATTAAATCATACAATACTTGAAAGTGCTTAAGCTGTGCTTAGTTAATCTGAGTAGGTTTCAGAAAAAGATAGTCATATTGAAGGAAGTGACTAGTGCAAGTCTCCCCACCATCCTTACCCAAAAGTGGCCATCTCTAATAAATGCTTCTATTAAAAATATAGGACACACTTATTTATGACTTTCCAAACGGCTTGTTAAATAAACAAATAACACTGAGCTTTATTTGAAGGTTCCAGCCAGGTGCAGTAGTAGCTCATGCCTATAATCCCAATATTTTGGGAGGCCAAGGCGGGAGGATCACTTGAGGCCAAAAATTCAACATCAACCTAGGCAACACAGCCAAACACTGTCTCTATTAAAAAAATTAAAAAATTAACTGGGTGCCGTCCAGTGCGGTGGCTCACCCCTGTAATCTCAGCAATTTGGGAGGCTGAGGTGGGCGGATCACAAGGTCAGGAGTTCGGGACCAGCCTAGCCAACATGGTGAAACCCCATCTCTACTAAAAATACAAAAATTAGCCACAGGTGGTGGCGGGCACCTATAATCCCAGCTACTCGGGAGGCTAAGGCAGGAGAATTGCTCAAACCCAGGAGGCAGAGGTTGTAATGAGCTGAGACTGCACCATTGCACTCCAGCCTGGGCAACAGAGACTGTCTCAAAAAAAAAAAAAAAATTAGCTGGGTGTGGTGGCTCATGCCTATAGTCCCACCTACCTGGGAGGCTGACACAGGAGGAGTGCTTGAGCCCAAGAATATAGGTTGCAGCAAACCATGATGATGCCACTGTACTCCAATCTGGGCAACAGAACAAGACCCTGTCTCAAAAATAGAAAAATAAAAAAAAAGATTTCCTCACTATTAAGTGACATTCACTATATTGATGTCAATACATTAACAACATTCAATAAAAACTGGGCCAGGCACAGTGGCTCACGCCTATATCCCAGCACTTTGGGAGGCTGATGGTGGTGGCAGGAGTTCAAGACAGCCTGACCAACATGGCAATACCCCATCTCTACTGAAAATACAAAAATTAGCCGGGCGTTGCAACACACACCTGTAATTCCAGCTACTCCGTAGGCTGAGGCAGAAGAATCATTTGAACCAGGAAGGCAGAGATTGCAGTGAGCCGAGATCTTGCCACTGCACTCCAGCCTGGGTGACTCTGTCTCAAAAACAAACAAAACTGGAGGAGGGGGCAAGGTGACTCATGCCTGTAATCTCAGCACTTTGGGAGGCCAAGGTGGGAGGGGATCGCTTGCACCTAGGAGTTTGAGACCAGCCTGGGCAATATAGTGAGACCCTGTCTCTACAAAAAATTTAAAAATTAACAGGGCATGGTGGTACATGCCTGTAGTTCAAGCTGCTCACGAGGTATAGGTGGGAAGATTGCTTGAGACAGAAGTTGAGGGTGCATGGCCAAGACTGAGCCACTGCACTTCAGCCTGGGTGACAGAGACCCTGCCTTAAAAAAAAAAATTTCCTCCTGAGCTTGAAGATAAAGCAAACATTCTAGAAGCATTTATTTAAGGCACATTAACCAAGCATCTCATTTGCTACATATAGCAGGGTACTGTATTAAAATTATGATCTAACTAACCATTGCCTCACTGTGATCTAAGTCTCTTTGAAACTTAGCTTCTTTAAATGTAAAATAGGAGTTTTTAAGAGATGATCTTTTGGGACCCTTCCATCACTGACACTCTTTAATTTGAGACGCAGAGTTCTGTGATCATTCAGGGTTGAGTGGAATGGGATTTAAAGCACTTACTAAGTATATAACTGAGTTTCAACTGTTTTCAACTTCACATCTGATTCCCAAGAATGAAGCAGAAAATGAAGATGTTTGCATGTGGGCTTCCTAGATTGAGTATCTGACACAAGAAAAGCCTGCCAAGAGCCAAAAAGGCAGTGCGAAGGAGAAGTTGTCTTCCCCTGATATGTCCTTTATCCCTCTGGGTTCAGAGAATACGAGAAAAAAATGGATCACTGAATCTTTTCCAAGCCCTTTCCCTTTACTTTGTAGGCTGATCTCACATCCATGGTCCCTTAGATCCAAGGCTTTTAGGAGCTCTGGTGCTCACAGCCCTGTTCTGAGACTCAGGAACTCGGAGTCTCAAAGCCCGGATCCCATCCCCACAGAAGCTCCAGCCTTCACTGTCCGCTTCTGTTCCCTTCCAAACTCAAGTTTTCGCTGTCTGCTTCTGCCCCTCAGGAACCTAAGTCTTCGCTGCCCCGTTTCTGAATCCTTAGGAGCCCGGGTCTTCACTGTCCCGCTTCTGCCTCTTAGGAGCCCAAGTCCTCACCGCTCCACTTTTACCACTCCGGAGCCCGTCTTCACGCCCCATTCACTTACGACCCTCTCCTCTTAGGAGTGCCGGTTCTCATAATCCTGTTCCTCTCAGACCGCTTTCCCTCAGATGCTGGAGAACTCACATCCATTCCCGTTCCCTAAGTCCCATCTAGAGCCCGGGTCCCCAGAGCCGCGTCTTCTCCGAGCCCGATCCTCTCAGTAGGTCCCTTCCCGAGAACCTGAATCCTCACAGCCCCATCTCGTTCACAACCTGGACCTTCGAACACTGACCTACTGTAGGTCTGGGTCCTGACTCCCTCCTCCCGCTCTTGTTCCTCAACTGCCAGGGCCCAAGACTCACAGGCAGCAGCGTCTATCTCCCCATGATATGCGGAGACTGCCCCAATGTAGCGTTCGTCTCAGCAGCCGGTCCGACTGCGCGGCCCTCCCCGACTACTTCCGGCACCGCTCCCCGCCTCCAACCCGGAAACGCGCGGCTCTTCCGGCAGGCGGGCGCGCGCCTCGCTAGCGCAGGCGCAGACTGCCCTCCGACACGTGGTGGCTGTATTGGGCTGTATGTAGCTAGACTCTGCAGCTTGCGGTTTTAACTGCTTGTGATTGAGTGGCAACGTGAGTGAGCTCTGCGTATTCCACCCCAGCGTTAAGAATCCTTCACTAGCTTCTCTAACTGACCCTGCTTATTTATCTATCGGTAGCAGGACGGGTAATTGACGCCCTCAGATGGCTTTGAGGTCGCCATTTTTGGTTGTTGTCTTTGTCATGGTGTCAGGACCGGGATATCATCTGGGACACATTACCCTATAGATATCCCGTTGGACCTCAACGAGGAAGTTGGCAGCACAAGAACTGGGAGACGAGAGAAATCGGTTGGTTGTGCTTGTGAACTATCAATTCAACAATACAGTTGAATGCTTACTGTTTGCCAGGAATTATGCTAATCCGCTTACCTCCTCCGTTACGACATTTAATCAGAGGAGACCTGTGAGTGATTAAGAAAAGTTCTAGCTAATAAGTGCAGAGCCTCAGCTTGAACTCAGAACTCACTCCTACGCCAGAGCCTGTCCTGTAGCAATCTCTAGTGCTTTCAGTTTTTCAGTTGTCAAATGCTTGGTGAGAACTGCTGTATTTTTTTTACTTGTTGCCAGACTGGAATGTTAGGCATGCAAGCATGCCTCACAATTCCAGCATCTGTGAGGTTCACAGTAAGTCGGAGAAGAACCCACAAACACCAAAAAATTTATAAAGAGCTGTGACAGCCCAGAGTAAGCCACAGTATCTGCCAGCAGGAATCACAAAGAGCTGCCCAAATTGGTGCGGCATCCTCCCCTGTCTTTATATCTTCCGAATCATCCTACCACACTCCCAATCCACGCTCTTCACTGCCACCCAATCCAAATTCTCAGATTCAAGTCCTCATGAACATTGGGCTCCAAGCTGTATTCCTAGCCTTATTTCCCTGCCACTGCTCTCCATTCTTTTTAGGGTCTGGCATTCCACTTTTTGTTATTGAACACCTATACCTCTTTTTTAAGACCCAGATTGAATCATTTGACAAGTGTTTATTGAGTCTTGTGTGCCAAGCCTTTTGCTATGTCCTGAGTACATAACTGGTGTCTAAGACGGATGATATCCTGGTTCTTAAAAAGTTTGCAACCTGGGCTGTGCGCAGTTCTGTAATCCCAGCACTCTGGGAGGCCGAGGCAGGCAGATCACAAGGTCAGTAGTTTGAGACCAGCCTGGCCAATATGGTGAAGCCCAGTCTCTACTAAAAATACAAAAAAAAATTAGTCAGGCCTGGTGGCGCATGCCTGTAATCCCAGCTACTCAGGAAGTGAAGACAGAATTGTTTAAACCCAGGAGGCAGAGGTTACAATAAGCCATGATCGCACCACTGCACTCCAGTCCAGCCTGGGTGACAGAGCGAGACTCCATCTCAAAAAAAAAAAAAAGTTTGCAACCTAGGGTGGGAAACAAACAGACCATTAGCAACTGCACAAAAGGGTAAAAGGAGAGAATACCAGAATAAGCCAGACTTACCTAGCTAACTGATGGCCTGAGCCATGGTCCTCAGTAAGGAAAGTACTTATTCAAGGACCAAGAAGGCCAAGGTGGTGGGGAGCTTCGATAACCTGGAAAGACAATGAGTTTGGAGAGGTGGGCAGGGGTTTGTTCTAGTCTGGACCTTTTAGACTAGATTATGATGGGGACTTGAGATTTTATTCAGTATGCAATGGGAAGGTATTGGAAGAATGGTGAAATTATGGTGATTGTTAAATGAGACAGGGTCTCACTTTGTCACCTGGGCTGGAGTGCAGTGGCACAATCATAGTTAACTGCAGCCTCAAACTCCTGTGTTTAAGTGAGCCACATCAGCCTCCCAAGTAGATGATTTTTCCTTTTTTTTTTTGAGACTGAGTTTCGCTCTTGTTACCCAGGCTGGAGTGCAATGGCGCGATCTCGGCTCACCGCAACCTCCGCCTCCTGGGTTCAGGCAATTCTTCTGCCTCAGCCTCCTGAGTAGCTGGGATTACAGGCACGCGCCACCATGCCCAGCTAGTTTTTTGTATTTTTAGTAGAGACAGGGTTTGACCATGTTGACCAGGATGGTCTCGATCTCTTGACCTCGTGATCCACCCGCCTCGGCCTCCCAAAGTGCTGGGATTACAGGCTTGAGCCACCGCACCCGACCCTTCTTTTTTTTTTTTTTTTTTTTTTTTTTTTTTTTTTGAGATGGAGTCTCACTCTGTCACCCAGGCTGTAGTGCAATGGCGCCATCTTAGCTCATTACAATCCCCACCTCCCCGGTTCAAGCGATTCTCCTGCCTCAGCCTCCCAAGTAGCTGGGATTACAGGCATCTGCCACCACCCCTGGCTAATTTTTGTATTTTTAGTAGAACAGGGTTTCGCCACGTTGGCCAGGCTGGTCTTGAACTCCTGGCCTCAAGTGATCCACCTGCCTCGGCCTCCCAAAGTGCTGGGATGACAGGCATGAGCCACCATGCCCGGCCTGATTTTTCTTTTTTCTTTGTTATATTTTTAAGAGATAAGGTACTGGGAGCAGTGGCTCAGGCCTGTAATCCTAGCACTTTGGGAGGCCAAGGTGGGTGATCACCTGAGGTCAGAAGTTCGAGACCAGCCTGGCCAACATATGAAATGCATCTCTATTAAAAACAAAAATTAGCCAGGTGTGGTGGGGCATGCTTGTAATCCCAGCTACTTGGGAGGCTGAGGAAGTAGAATTGCTTGAACCTGGGAGGTGGAGGTTGTAGTGGGCCGAGATCACACCACTAGGCTCCAGCCTGTGCCACAGGAGTGAGACTCCATCTCAAAAAAAAAAAAAGGAAAAAAAGAGAGATAAGGCCAGGCCAGGCACGGTAGCTTACGCCAGTAATCCCAGCACCTTGGGAGGCAAAGGTGGGTGGATCACTTGAGGTCAGGAGTTTGAAACCAGCCTGGCCAACAGGGTGAAACCTGTCTCTACTAAAAATATTAGCCAGGCGTGGTGGCGCATGCCTGTAGTCCCAGCTACTCAGGAGGCTGAGGCAGGACAATCACTTGAAGCCGGGAAGCAAAGGTTGCAGTGAGCCAAGATCATGCCACTGCACTCCAACCTGGGCAACAGAGTGAGACTCTGTCTGAAAAAAAAAAGGAAAAGAAAAAAAAAACAGATAAAGTCAGATGTGGTGGCTTATGCCTGTAATCCCAACACTTTGGGAGGCCCAGGCAGGAAGATTGCTTGAGCCCAGTAGTTTGACCAGCCTGGGCAACATATGGAGACAATGTCTCTATTTATTTATTTATTTATTTTATTTATTTATTTAAAAGAGAGGGTTTCATCATGTTGATCAGGCTGGTTTTGAACTCCCCACCTCAGGTGATCCACCTGCCTTGGCCTCCAAAGTGCTTGGATTACAGGCATGCGCCACCACGTCTGGTCCAACGTCTCTGTTAAAAAAAAAAAATTAGCCTCAGCATGGTGGTGTGGGCCTGCAGTCCCAGTCACTCTGGAGACTGACAGGCAAGAGGATCTGCTTGAGCCTAGAAGTTCCAGGCTGCAGTGAGCTATGACTGCACTCCATAGTGCACTCCAGCATGGGTGACAGAGCAACACTCTGTCAAAAAATAAAGAAAGAAATAAAGAAAGAGAAAGAGATAACACAACACTGGTGGATGACAGGAAGAGCAATTGACAGTACCATCTCTGGGCTTCTCACAAGTTTATGTAACACCTCTGCTTCCTATAACAATGTAAGAGCTGTTTATGTATGTCCTTTCTCTTATGACTTCTACTTTGTAAAGAGCAAAGACCTCCATGTATTATTTAAATATATTAAAGAACGTGGGGTCCAAAGTGGCTCCCGCCGGAGGTCATGGTGCTTGCGAAGGCGAGGTCATCAGTTCAAGGCTAACCTGAGCAACCTCATAAGCTCAAACTGATAGGCAAAAAAAAAAAAAGAACGTAAATTGGCCAGGCGCGGTGGCTTACGCCTGTAGTCCCAGCACTTTGGGAGGCCAAGGAGGGTGGATCACTAGGTCAGGAGATCGAGACCATCCTGGTCAACAAGGTGAAACCCCCATCTCTACTAAAAATACAAAAATTAGCTGGGCATGGTGGTGTGCGCCTGTAATCCCAGCTACTCAGGAGGCTGAGGCAGGAGAATTGCTTGAACCAGGGAGGCAGAGGTTGCAGTGAGCCAAGATCGTACCACTGTACTCCAGCCTGGGCAACAGAGCAAGACTCCATCTTAAAAAGAAAAAAAAAAAGTAAATTACCTAATAGCCTGTATTTTTTATTGACTTCATTTTATTATTATATATGTATGTATGTATTTATTTATTTTTGAGATGGAGTTTCACTCTTGTTGCCCAGGCTGGAGTGCAATGGTGTGATCTCAGCTCACTGCAACCTCCATCTCCTGCAATCTCGGCTCACTGCAACCTCTGCCTCCCAGGTTCAAGCAATTCTCCTGTCTCAGCCTCCTGAGTAGCTGGGATTGCAGGTGCCCACCACCACGCCCAGCTAATTTTTGATATTTTTAGTAGAGATAGGATTTCATCGTGTTGTCCAGGCTGGTCTCAAACTCCTGACCTCAGGTGATCTGCCCACCTTGGCCTCCCAAAGTGCTGGGATTACAGGTGTAATCCCAGCCCAAAACATTTATTTATATGTATATAATGTGTATGTACATAGCAAGCAGTCTGGCAAGATAAACACTAAACTGTTAACAGTAGTTTGGAGGAAGCATTTTCACTTTTTTTTTTTTTTGAGATGGAGTTTCACTCTTTTTGCCCAGGCTGGAGTGCAATGGCACGATCTCAGCTCACAGCAACCTCTGCCTCTTGGGGTCAAGTGATTCTCCTGCCTCACCCTCCCAAGTAGCTGGGATTATAAGCATGTGCTACCACATTTGGCTAATTTTGTATTTTTAGTAGAGATGGGGTTTCTCCATGTTGGTCAGGCTGGTCTCGAACTTCCAATCTCAGGTAATCCACCTGTCTTGGCCTCCCAAAGTGCTAGGATTACATGTGTGAGCGAATTTTATATCATTTTTTTTTTTTGAGACGGAGTTTCGCTCTTGTTACCCAGGCTGGAGTGCAATGGCGCGATCTCAGCTCACCGCAACCTCTGCCTCCTGGGTTCAGGCAATTCTCCTGCCTCAGCCTCCTGAGTGGCTGGGACTACAGGCGTGCACCACCATGCTAGGCTAATTTTTTGTATTTTTAGTAGAGACGGGGTTTCACCATGTTGACCAGGATGGTCTCGATCTCTTGACCTCGTGATCCACCCACCTCGGCCTCCCAAAGTGCTGGGATTACAGGCTTGAGCCACCGCGCCCGGCCGCATTTATTTCTTTTTTATATATATTTTATATCATTTCTGTGCTATTTCAATTTCTTACCATTGTCACATATTGGGTTTTTTGTTTTTAAAATTTTTTTTGAGGCAGGGTCTTCATCTGTCACCCAGGCTGGAGTGCAGTGGCATGATTATGGCTCACTGCAGCCTTGACTTCCCTGGCTCAAGCAATCCTCTTGCCCCAGCCTCTGGGGTAGCTAGGACTACAGGCCCATGTCATGATACCTGGTTAATTTTTTATTTTGGGGTAGAGACGAGGTCTCTGTATGTTGCCCAAAGTGGTCTCAAACTCCTGGGCTCTCAAAGTGTTGGGATTACAGGCATGAACCACCGCAGCTGTCCATCATTACCCTTAACAAAAAAATGAGAACATTAGAGATAAATCTAAAGTCCTGTGTGTCAACTGCTCCCATCCTAATCCCCTACCTCCTTCCAAGGGGTAATCATTGATATGTTTCCTGATCTTCTTTAACATCTTATATTGTTCATACAAACACATGGCCGTAGAATATACATAGCACAGGGTTTTGCCGGTATGCCTGCATGCTCTTGATTAGATCAACAGTAGTAGGCTGTACCCTATTCAACACATTTTTTCCACTTTTAAAAACATCTGTGTTGGCTGGGGGTGGTGGCTCACACCTGTAATCCCAGCACTGGGAAGCTGAGGTCAGGAGTTCAAGAACAGACTGAACAAATGGTGAAACCCCATCTCTACTAAAAATAAAAAATTAGCCTGGCATGGTGGCACAAACAAACCTGTAGTCCCGGCTACTTGGGAGGCTGAGGCAGGAAAATCACTTGAACTCAGGAGGCAGACGTTGCAGTGAGCCAAGATTTCGTCACTGCACTCCAGCCTGGGCAACAAGAGTGAGACACTGTTTAAAAAAAACTGTGTTGAAGATCTACTTCAGTCATCTGAGGTACAGTATTATTTTTCACTTAATGCTATGCTGTACCTTATTCTACAACTCTTATCAATTTTTTTTACTTTATAATAACATTCCTTAGAAGTGCAGCATATAGCCTGCCACCCTATGAACACACCATGACAGTCAGCTTATGTGTTGTTGTCAGAAAGGTGTTTTCGCTTACAGTGAGCTTGTGCTTCCACTGCACGACTGCCTGGGCTGCTCCAGGGTGGTGGCTAGGGGTGGCACAAATTACACATTTTCAATTTGGATAGGCTGTGATTCTTGTCTTCCCCAGTTAGGTATCCACAGCCGCTGAAAGCCAGTATTCCAACGCCAGGAAACGCCTGCTTTCCTGAGCAGTTGACAAGAGAGAACCACCGCTAACTGCAACCGGAAGGAGCAGGTTCTCCCTCGCTCGCGCAGCCGCTCTTCCCCGCCACTCCCTTGACTCCCGCCAGCACCTTCCCAGCAAGCACTGCTCAAATTTGCATATCAACTCACGTCCTTTACTTCTAAATAAAAATCGAAAAGACAAATTCCAGATTTTCCTTGTAAGTCTTCCTTTCAATTCAGAAGAACCGGAATTCCCTCTTCGACTTCAGCAACGAACATGGAATAAGGCTTTGCTTAGGTTTTTGTGTTCACCTTTACCAAAATATGAATTTGCTAACACTGCCAGTCTGCTTTGGTAACCGGGATGGCAAAAAGGGCTTCTGTCGTGAGTGGCACACGTAGAGCAACTCGATTGCTTTTCGTGCGGAATCGACATCAAGAGATTTCGGAAGCATAATTTTTTGGTATTTGGGCAGCTGGTGATCGTTGGTCCCGGCGCCCTTCTTTCATTGTTTGTAAGTTAGATATTGCGTTTTGATTTGGTGTTTCTTCTTATGATGCATTTTCACGTGAGTTATTTGGGAACAGTTACAGGCATCAACTCAACCACATATGTAAGTAGTGGTCGAAGCTTTAAGATAGCCGCGTGATCCCGGGGGTGAGGTAACTCGTGGGGCGGACAACCGCGTGATCGCATGTGGGAGGCCAGGTTGAACAATACATCAGAAGCCCCTGTAACAAGAACATTTAGAGAATTATTCCTGCGTGTTGTCATTAAAATACTGACTGTGTTACAATCTAACAGCAAATGGAATAGTCCTAGTTCTTGACTTCACAAGACTTAACTATGACTCTGAATTTGATACGGAGGAAGTCGTTCCTGAGGCAATGACTTTGAAGCTGAAAATTAAAGAATAAATACATGAAGAGCTGGCAAGTATGGAAGCGGCAATTTAAGAAAAGGCATAACACTCCACGTTGGAGAGAATGTGCTCCAATTCAGGGAGTAAAAGACCAGAGTGGTACCAACCATCCAAGTGGCCAGGCATATTGAATGAGCCTTGAATGGTCATTGCAATTTTTTTTTCTTGTCATGGAGTCTCCCTCTGTCGCCAGGCTAGAGTGCAGTGGCGCGATCTCAGCTAACTGCAACCTCTGCCTCCCCAGTTCAAGCGATTCTCCTGCCTCAGCCTCCCGAGTAGCTGGGACTACCGGCGGGTGCCACCATGCCCAGCTAATTTTGTTTGGTTGGTTTTTGGGACAGAGCCTTGCTCTGTTGCCCAGGCTGTAGTGCAGTGGCACGATCTCAGCTCACTGCAACCTCCACCTCCTGGGTTCAAGCAATTCTCTTGCCTCAGCCTCCTGAGTAGCTGGGATTACAGGCGTGTGCCATCACACCCAGCTAATTTTTTTGTGATTTTAGTAGAGATGGAGTTTCACCATGTTGGCCAGGCTAGTCTCGAACATCTGACCTCGTGATCCATCTGCCTTGGCCTCCCAAAGTGCTGGGATTCCAGGCGTGAGCCACCAAGCCTGGCGTTAATATCTGTATTTTTAGTAGAGATGGGGTTTCACCTAGTTGGCTAGGCTGGTCTCCATTTCTTGACCTCGTGATCCACCTGCCTCAACCTCCCAAAATGCTGGGATTACAGGCATGAGCCACCCATGCCTGGCCTGCAATATTATTTTATAAAGCAGAAGAAATGGAAATTACCTTTATTAGGCCTCAGCAAACTTTCTACACCTTATACCATATACAAAAGATTAATTCAACCTATAATCCCAGCACTTTGGGAGGCCGAGGCTGGTGGATCACGAGGTCAAGAGATTAAGACCATCCTGGTCAACAAGGTGAAACCCCATCTCTACTAAAAATACAAAAATTAGCTGGGCATGGTGGTGTGCGCCTGTAGTCCTAGCTACTCGGGAGGCTGAGGCAGGAGAATTGCTTGAACCCAGAAGGTGGAGATTGCGGTGAGCCGAGATCGTGCCATTGCACTCCAGTCTGGGTAACAACAGTGAAACTCCGTCTCAAAAAAAAAAAAAAAAAAGATTAATTCAAAATGGATCAAAGACCTAAACGTAAGAGTTTAAAGTGTAAAATTTAGAGAAGGCCGGGTGCAGTGGCTCACGCCTGTAATGCTAGCACTTTGGGAGGCCCAGGTGGGTAGATTGCCTGAGCTCAGAAGTTTGAGACCAGCCTGGGCGACACTGCACTCCAGCCAGGGTGACTGAGCAAGACTCCATCTCTAGAAAAAAAGAAAGCCAGGCACGGTGGCTCACACTTGTAGTCCCAGGACTTTTGGGAGGCCAAGGCAGGCCGATGACTTAAGGTCAGGAGTTCGAGACCATCCTGCCAACACAGTGAAACCTTGTCTCTACTAAAAATGCAAAAATTACCTGGGCATGGCGGTGGGCGCCTATAATCCCAGCTACTGGGGAGGTTGAAGCAGGAGAATTGCTTGAACCTGGGAGGCTGCAGTGAGCTGAGATCATGCCACTGCACTTCGGCACTCCAGCCTGGGCGACAGAGCTAGACTCTATCTCAAAAAAAAAAAAAAAAAAGAGAAAACACAGGGGGAAATGGCATTGAATTTGTCAATGATTTCTCAGATATAACACAATGGTGCACACGCAACAACAAATAATTAAATTAGTCTTCATCAAATTTTATTTATATTTATATTTATATTTTTTGAGACGGAGTTTCGCTCTTGTTACGCAGGCTGGAGTGCAGTGGCGCAATCTCAGCTCACCGCAACCTCTGCCTCCTGGGTTCAGGCAATTCTCCTGCCTCAGCCTCCTGAGTAGCTGGGACTACAGGCACACGCCACCATGCCCAGCTAATTTTTTGTATTTTTAGTAGAGATGGGGTTTCGCCATGTTGACCAGGATGGTCTCGATCTGTTGACCTCGTGATCCACCCGCCTCGGCCTCCCAAAGTGCTGGGATTACAGGCGTGAGCCACCACACCCGGCCATCAAATTTTAAAACATTAAAATTAATTTTAAAAGCTGTTTTTTTTTTTTTCTTGTGGAGACGGAGGTCTCACTATGTTGACCAGGCTGCTCTCAAATTCCTGGCCTCCTGTAAAATTAATTTTAAAATTAAAATGAAAAACCTGGCCAGGCACAGTGGGTCACGCCTATAATCCCAGCACTTTGGGAAACTGAGGTGAGCAGATCACCTGACGTCAGGAATTCAAGACCAACCTAGCCAACATGGTGAAACGCCGTCTTTACTAAAAATACAAAAATTAGCCGGGCATGGTGGCAGCCGCCTGTAATACCAGCTACTCAGGAGGCTGAGACAGGAGAATTGCTTGAACCCAGGAGGCAGAGTGGCAGTTAGACGAGTTTGTGCCATTGTACTCTAGCCTGGGTGACAAGAGTGAAACTCCATCTCAAAAAAAAAAAAAAAAAAAAAAGCCTGGCACGGTGGCTCATGCCTGTAATCCCAGCACTTTGGGAGGCCAGCGCAGGCAGATCATGAGGTCAAGAGATCGAGAGCATTCTGGCCAACCTGGTGAAACCCTGTCTCTACTAAAAAAATACAAAAATTGGCCGGGCACGGTGGCTCACACCTGTAATCCCAGCACTTTGGGAGGCCAAGGCGAGCGGATCACCTGAGGTTAGGAGTTCGAGACCAGCCTAACATGGAGAAACCCCGTTTCTAAAAAATAAATAAAATAAAATAAAGAAAAAATTAAAAATACAAAAATTAGCTGGGCATGGTGGCGAGTCCCTGTAGTCCCAGCTACTCCAGAGGCTCAGGCAGGAGAATCGCTTGAACCTGGGAGACAGAGGTTGCAGTCAGCCAAGATTGCGCCACTGCACTCCATCCTGGCACCTCGTGACAGAGAGAGATGCTGTCTCAAAAAAAAAAAAGAAAAAGAAAAACCCTTGTACATCAAAGGACACTATCAACAGAGTGGAAAGAACCCACAGAATTGGAGAAATCATATATTTCATAATGGATTAATATCCACAATACACAAGGAACTCATAACAACGACACAAACCCAGCCCAATTTAAAAATGGGCAAAAGGGCCGGGCGCGATGGCTCACGCCTATAATCCCAGCACTTTGGGAGGCCGAGGCGGGTGGATCACAAGGTCAAGAGATCGAGACCATCCTGGTTAACATGGTGAAACCCCATCTCTACTAAAAATACAAAAATTAGCTGGGCATGGTGGCGTGTGCCTGTAATCCCAGCTACTCGGGAGGCTGAGGCAGGAGAATTGCTTGAACCCAGAAGGCGGAGGTTGCAGTGAGCCGAGATCGTGCCATTGAACTCCAATCTGGGTAACAACAGTGAAACTCCGTCTCAAAAAAAAAAAGGACTTCTATAGACATTTCTCCAAAGATGGCCAATAAGCATATGAAAAGATGCTCAGCATCACTAATCATTAGGAAAATGCAAATCAAAACCATAATGAGATAGCACTTCACACCCATTAGGATAGCTATTATTTAAAAATATATATTGGGAGTTTCTCTGAGAGTACTCTGGCCCAAGATGCTGCCAGACAATAATTCAAAATAATAATAAAGATCAGTGCTGTGGCTCACACCTGTAATCTCCGTGCTTTGGGAGGCCAAGGTGAGAGGAACTCTTGAGCCCAGGGGAAAAAAAAATTTCCTCTGCCGAGGCCACCCATTGGTAGGCATTCACATGGGATACAAATATCTTTACTTTTTTTTTTTTTTTTGAGACGGAGTCTTTCTCGGTCGCCCAGGCTGGAGTGCAGTGACATGATCTCGGCTCACTATAGCCTCTGCCTCCCGGGTTCCAGCAATTGTCATGCCTCAGTCTCCTGAGTAGCTGGGATTAGAGGTGCCTGCCACCACGCCTGGCTAATTTTTGTATTTCTAGTAGAGACGGGGTTTCACTATGTTGGCCAGGTTAGTCTTGAACTCCAGGTGATCTGCCCGCCTCAGCCTCCTAAAGTGCTGGGATTACAGGCATGCGCCACCGAGCCCGGCCATCTTCACAGTTTTTGACCACTCAAAGAGGTCCCTGCACATACTTCTTTCCAGAATTTCTTTCTTTCTTTTTTTTTTTTTGAGACGGAGTTCTGCTGTTGTTACCCAGACTGGAGTGCAATGGCACGATCTCGGCTCACTGCAACCTCCGCCTTCTGGGTTCAAGCAATTCTCCTGCCTTAGCCTCCCGAGTAGCTGGATTACAGGCACGCGCCACCATGCCCAGCTAATTTTTGTATTTTTAGTTGAGAGGGGGTTTCACCTCGTTGACCAGGATGGTCTCAATCTCTTGACCTCGTGATCCACCCGC